TGCAGATCATAATTTATATATTTGTTTATTAATAGATGATTGGACAAGATTTGATTGAATCAAAATTTCATCAACCAAATAAATAATAATAATAATAATAATAATAATAATAAATCTCCCATTTCCTTTTTAACACCTCACCATTCTGTAAAAGAATATATAACTGTTGGTGATGTATGACAAGCATTTTTTTTTTTATCTTTTTACATGACTTTAACGGTAAAATCGAACATATTCTATCAATGGATTTCCAATTAAGTGAAATTTGCGTGGGAGGAAATACGTGGATTTGGCTCATTGACCCAACCATATTTCCATACTAGCATTTGACTAAAAATAGTTAAAATGTATAAATTGTAAATGAAATACCAAAACCCAAAAATACAATTTCTCCTTACCAATGGTCAATTGGTCACGCCTAAGAGAAGGAAAAAGAAATAGAAAATTACTCACACAGTCCACAGTTGGATCCAGTCAAAGAAAAGCCCTCACAGTCGAACCCAACGCCGACCACCATACACCGATCCTTATCTTCAACAATGTTAAGTTTTTTATTTTTTTGAATTATAAGATTGATTTTTCATTTATTGTTGTGTATAATGTTTATTCTTCATTATTTAAGTAGATCATTAAGTGTAGTGGAAATTTTAAGTATTTTTGCTAGACATTTTGCTGCATAAGTCGCCGAAAATGGCGATTCTTCCCATTCCAGCGAGAAACAGTCGACCTCGCACTGAGGGCAACTGTTAATAGTCAACCCATAAACTTTTTTTTCATTTTCTTTTCAATTTAAAATTATTTTTAATTCATTTCCTTTTATGATAAAATTTAATTTTTAAAATTTAAATTATATTCTTTGTTAATTTAATTTTTCAATTTAATTAAATAATATTTATATTATTTATTTAATTTTCATAATTTATTTTTGTTTAATTTTTTATTAATTTTTTTTGAAAATAGTTTTAAAATTTCTTAATTGTTTTTTTTTTTTTTGATTGAAAATTATTTTTCCTGACAGTTTTAATCAATCGGCCCAAAAGCCATTTTAAATAAATGGTACAATGAATAAAGATTGAAGAGCTTAAATGCATTAGTCAATGTTGAACTTGCGTTACACGTTACTATGAAATGCTATATATACATGAAAATAAATGTTAAATCTTTCATTTAATTTTCAACTAAGTAAAATTGGATTTTAGTTAGAATATATATACGTGAATAATGAAATGCATTTTTGAATTTTCTATTTTGAGAAACAGTTTTTGAAAATGACAAAAGGAACGTATTTTCAGCAATATCAAAACAGACATTCAAAATACAAAACTGAAACATAAAGATAACAACCCTTTATTTTTGCAATACTTAGCCCCTGTTTTGACTTCATTAAAATGAGGTTTTGGAGGAAAACATAATTCTTCAGAGAATATATGGTTGAAAATAAGTTTTAAAAAGATAAAACCCAAGCAAGAATTTCATAAAGTCCAAATACATTGCAGAGGCGGATTACTAGGCTGTCTATAACTGCTAGTGAAGTGGTTTGTTTATGCTGACTTCTATTTGATTTTGAGATTCATCTTACTGCTGCAATACTTGTTTATAGTGACAATAATCCGATTGCAACCAACCTTGTCATAAAGTCTTTTCTAGCTGTTTGCTGGGAATTATGGGGGTGGAAAAGAGGAAAAATGTGAATATTCTTTTGCTTATTGGCAAGGTATTATGAAATAAACTTATTATTAATCCTCTGGTTGGCTCCGATTATTTAAAATTTCTAATTCCTTAAATTCATTTTCAATTATATATTTTATACAATTCACAAATTTTAACAATTTTAAATTACACACTTCATCAACTTTTATAAATATACTAAAAATCTTATTTTTAACCAAATAAAACACGGCTGATTTGTACCATTGTGTTGGTTCTATGAATCAACTGAGCAGGCTCTGCCCCTGATAAAGCTTGTTGAGCAATTTTGTTTCTCCCTTGGGTTAATTTTTAGCTTATGTCAATTTATATTTACAAAAGTCAATTTAATCCAAATAAAGTTTACAATAGTCAAATTTTAATGCCTAGAATAGATTTCAAATAAAGTCGAGGGACATGAATTGAAATATATGATCTTCAAATGTACGATTTTATGGGTTTAGAGTTATCTTTATAATAATTGCATTTTTGGCTTAGCCCTTGTTTGGCCCCCATTTTTAGGGGTTGCAAATTTTTAGAATAGTGATTGATGAGAGAATAAGTGGTTGTGTAATATTATTTTATTTGATGAATGTATGGTTGAAATGAAAATGAAGAAAAAATTAATTTAATAGAATTTAATTTAATGGGGCTCAAACGGGACTTTAATCAAACTTATAAAACAATAGAGTTAGGCTGTAGACTACCTTATAAAGATGCAAAAGACTTAACAACATACTTTAATTCTTCAAATTTCGATAATGGGTTCGGTGGCACATGCAATTTCTTCAAAGAGTGTGCATATCTAATAAACTTATAATGCCCTTGTTTGAGTCCTATTTTGAAGTTTTTATAAAAAATATGTGATTGAAAATGAGTTTCGAAAAGATAAGGACCAAACATTGGCATTTATAAGTAATTTTTTGATTATCAAGAACCGAAATTTCCAGTTTCTTCCTCAAGAACATTACTCTGCAGCTTTAATTATTTCCCTAGCACACTCAGACTCGAATTCCGTCACTTCCCACAAGCAGCTTTGTACACAATTTTCCCTTTCCACAAAGCATAATAGCTAGCTACCATGTGATAATGATGTGATGAATGGATGGGATTTGAACAGACCAAAAAGAGAATATTAAGCATGTACTATCTGCCATAAGTCTGGTTTTTGCATGTAAAGGTGCCGGCACACACTGTCAAAAACCACCCTTTCTTCTGTCAGTTTGCCAGGTATTGTACTGTACACCTTCTCCCCCATTTCAAAATACTCGCTGCACAATCCTTTCTTCACAATACTTGCATACTTACCCATCTCCATCTTCAGAACAAACCCCAACACACTCTCAAGATCACTCGTTCTTCAATGGAGTTTTGGGGTAAAACTCTTTCTCTCTCTCCGACTTCTTTGTTCTGCCTTTTTAGGATTTCGACATATTTTATTGTTTACTGCTATACACTTACCATCACCTTGGACTTTGGGGGTAAATCTTGTTTCAGGTGTCGAGGTGAAAAGTGGGGAGATTCTTCCCGTTATGTCTTGTGTGGGCATGTCTTTGCGTCTGACTCAGGTATGCCTTTTGATTGTTTGCACTTCATTTTCCTTGATGGCATCATCTACTTTTGCTTCTTTTAAAGCAACTGAAATTTCTATGTTTCCTTGCCCTCGGCTTCTTCAATTTTCCTTGATGGAATCAGAATATGCTTTCTTCCGCAGGCTACGCTTGGTAAGCCGAAAGAGGAGAAAGGAAATGAATCTGTTCGCTTGTTTGCAACCGTTGATGGAAAGAAGCTAGTTCTCGCAACATTGTATACTACAAATCTGCCTCAGAAACATCTGGGCATGGTTTTTGATTGAGATTTCGAGCTATCGCATGACTGGGAAAATGGAACTGTTTACTTCTATGGATATAGGATTAATAACCCTTTAAGAGAAGAATATCCTTTCTGCTTTTATGTTTCTTTTTTTCGTTAAGAAAATGAATTACCGGATAAACTTGATGTTGTTTGTCCTCTTTTCCTTAAATATATCTTTGTTGAGCATTCTTTGCTGTTTCAATTTTATTTGTTCAAGTGTTTGGTTTTTCTTTGTTTTGGTTTTGCAGTAATGTATGACACGTCTTAAGTTTGAATGTGAAATAATGAATATGGAGACCTTTGTTGGTACTTGTTTATATTTTCTTCTTTAATCATATGGAACTGAGAAAATGAAGGAATATCTGAATTTGGTTTCCTTAACCCACTTCATTGTTCTATCACGACCAAGTCTGGTGATCGTCTATCTCTCCTTCTCTGTCCTTCAATAGGTTTTTCTCCGTCTTCTCTTCTTGCCTCTTTCCTCACTTCCGTAATTTTCGTTTGGTGTTCTTTGTTAAGAAAAGTACTTACATGCTTACGGCTAATGTTAGATGAATCTGAAGAGGCTATCCCGCATACTGTTGCAAGTGATGAGGTGAAACCCGAGGATGATAATTCTCTCTCAACTTCCATTCCTCCGTCCTTTTGCAACATGGATTTTGAAAGGTATGCAAGATTTCATCATTCTAAACTCTCTTGCACTAAGGAGTTGTATAGATTCAGTTGTTGGTATTTTAAATCTCATGTTTGAATATGTTGTACGCAGGACGATACTGTCTGAGGAACATTATGCACTGCTTTCTTCTATGATGCTTTACTCAGCATCGCCCTCCTTCCTCCTACAGTCACAAAGAGAAAACGTAGCTAAAAAGAAATCTAGAAATGATGTTCTCCTAGAAATATGGGAGGCTATTATCCCATATGTCAAGGCCTCCGAAGATAGGGCAGCAGCGACTCTGGTGTGCAAAAGCTGGTTTCAAATCGACAAGGTTACTCGAGAGCACGTTACTCTAAAGTCTGCTTACGTTGCAAAACCAAAAAGACTTTTCCGGCGCTTCCCAAACCTCCGTTCGTTGAAGATAAAGGGAATGTCGCCGGAAATGATGCATCACTTTTGAATGGACTCGAGGGATAAGATAACACCGTAGTTTACGGAGATTGTGAAACATCCTAAAATCGAGGCAGTTGAGAATCCTTCACATTCTTGGAGCT